CGCCATCCCCTCCCAGAGCAGGACGCAACAGCACTTCGTAAGATTTCTTGAAATTTATAAAAATAGAACTGGAAAACTACGTATTTTTCAACTTAACCCCAAAAGGCAAAGCAGCAAGCTGCCCTTCTGCTGAGGTGACCCATCACTTGGTGTCCACGCAGACCCTCTTGGGAGGCTGCTCCATGGCACCGCTGCTCCCCAGAGCATCGCTGCGGTGGCTCCTCTTGCTCTCAGGGGGCTGCTGGTCTCTGTCCCCCACCACTTCCAGGCCCGGGGGGTTTTCGATGCGGCCCCTCCGCACAAAGTGCCGGATGCGGGCCTCCAGCCCCTCGCACTTGGGGCGGGCTAGTAAAGGTTTGTAGGTGCGGGCTTTGACACCTTCCACGAAGCCGCTGACCTGGCTGCAGAGTGGAGGCTTCATATCTCCCCAGAGGACAGTCGTGTTGTTCCCTGGGCCTGCAATATAATTGAAAAAATACCAGTGGTTTGAACAATCTAATTACCCTTTTTTTAATTATTTTTTAAAGCCAGTTACCCCCATCCCTCTGTGATTCCAACGTATTGCCATAAAACCATCCCTTACTTTTTCCAGTAGCCATGGGCGCAGCATCTAACCCTTGTAACATGTTATGTAGCACTTGAGTTTTGACTGCATGGTTGGCCCAGAGCTGCTGTAGGTGGGTAACGTTGAACTCCTGCACTTCTCGGTCATAGAGCCACTGAAGGTTTTCGAACTCGCAGTCATATAGGACAAGGGGAAACTCAACTGCCATGCTAGGGAGAAGGAGAGAAGGCGTTACCCTGTCTGGAGGGATGCTGTGACAAAAAAGGCTTAAGCAACAGCGCACGGGCCTGTCCTTTCTGCAAAACCAGCCCTGTCTTTTATAAAACTCCTTTTTCCAATTAAAAAATTAATTTTAACCTAATACCAAGGGTTAAAGCTGTTGCAAGTTTGTCTGAGAGGAAAAAAAAAATGAGATCCTTATGGGTACCTCCCTGAGAGGCCACTGGCAGCTTGCTTCCATATTGTGAGAGACTGCTTCACAGGCTGGCAGAGAAGTGGCTTGCCAGCGGCACTTTGCATGCAGCCGTCGCTTTGAGAAGCAGCCCAGGAGGTTTCCCCCAAGCTCTCAGTACCTGTACTGCGGTTTTCGGGGGTTCTTTTCCACATCCAGCAGCTCGTCAATGATCTCTGGGTTCTCCATCCTCTGGCCGATGAGGAAGAGGATCGCCATCATGCAGCGGACTTGGTGGTAGAGGAACGCCTGGCCTGTCACTTCAAACTGGCACAGACGGAAGGGATCCTGCAGCCCGGTTTCTCCTCCTCTCTCTACCCATGTCACCCCGGCGCTGAGGATCGTCCTCTGAAAGTTGACCACCCCATTGGCGACGTCCATTTTACACAGATTTCGGAAATCGTGGGTCCCCACATACCTCTGGGCTGCGGCATGCATCAGGGCCACGTCCAGGTTGGCGCAGGGGAAGAAATAGCGATAAATCCTCTTGAGACAGCTGAACCGGGCACTGAAATCGGGCTCCACGGGGGCCCAGGCCAGCACCCGGATGTCGGGTGGGAGCACCCTATTCAGAATATGGGTGTAGCGGAGCTCCTCCTCCCCCTCGCTTTTGCCTCCTGAGTCACCCTCGTGGCCATTGAACTTCTTCCCCTCCAACCGGTTCGAGCGGAGATCTAGGGAAATCACCTGCAAAACGAGGAAAGCCAGGATTAGATCACAGATGGGCGTATTCGGCGTGTCAAGCCAAGTCTTCCTACACTGCTGTGAAATAAATTCAGGATCTCCTACAGATGAAGGTGTCTTAAATCAGGCAATCTTACCACTCCTTCCTGCGGGTAAAGCTGCAAGTGCCTCTGCTAAGGTTGCTAGCAGATGCTATGGATTCCTTTAATAAAACAGAGAAAGTTGCAGACTGCCTACGTAGTCCGGTCTCAAAACAGCTTCAACTTTAATCACTGTTTTTAGGATATAATGTGCTTTTTTTTTTTTTTTTTTTTCCCTGGAGGTGATGACTTGAATACAGTAACAGCCTGGCTGCCTGGGAAACCTGGTGTGGGAACAAGTTAATTAACACCGCAGGTGCCCATGGACTTTAAACGGTGCAAGAAAAGGCAGCTCGCATCCCTTATTTTCTGCGGCTCATCTTGTGAAGTAGAACAGATCGCCCATCTAAGCCAAAACCACCCCGGCAAGGCAAAAGCAAAGCCAGCTCCGCTTCCTGAGCAGGGAGGGAAGGAGAAACTGGCCTGACAGCTAAGCCGGCGCAGTGCAGGAAGGGCTCAGCCGGCCCGATGGCTCCGTGCCCACTGAGCGGGCCGGCTTGCTCCCCTCCCTCCAGCTCCCACTCCCACGCTCCCTTCCGCTCACTGCACCTCCCCTCAGACCCTTCTGCGCAGGAATTCAGCTGCCTGCCTCCACAGGAAGCTATCCATTTCTTGGATTTTTTTTTTTTTTGGGGGGGTAGCCAGTTAAATCAGCTGAGAGGGGCTCTGCCAAGGAAGGGGCATCTCCCCTTTTTTGGCAGCACTGAGCTTTAGGGGAAGCTGCAGTAATAAGGGCTAACAAGCACTTTGAGGGTCTAAAATCATCATTCTGTGTGCAAGATGCCATCACCAGGCTCATTTTCAGATTTCAAAGCCGACGGCTTTTAAAAACTTAATCCAGCCTGTGCTGTTGTGGCTCATCACTGCGGAACAGTAATGCCACCACCTCTCCATCCCACCAGAAATCTGAGAAAGCCTCTGGGGGGGGATCCTGACCTGTCCAAAAGCACTGACTCCTTTGTCCGTCCGCCCACAGCGGTGGTAGTTGGAGGTCTGTCTGTCGTTCACCAGCCGTGTCTTCTTCAAGGCTTCGAAGAGCTTCTCCTCGATGGTGTTGCTGGTGTTCTCCTGGCTGGCAAACCCCTGGTAGCCCCAGCCCAGGTAGGCGATCTTCAGTGCCACGTGTCTGCGCCCGTAGGCACCAAAATCAAAGGGCCGTTGGTGGCGTTTCTTGGCTTTCCCAGGGCCTGAAGGAGCCTCTTTTCTACCAGCGCCCTCCTTGTCCTCTTGGAGCTTCTCCTGCAGCCTCTTCACCTCCTCTTCCAGCTCCTGCACCCTCCTCAGGAGCCGCTCCTGATCAGTAGCCACACTCTCCTCTGCCATAGCCACCGTCTTGGAGCCTTAATTAGTTGCCAGTAGCTCCTCAGGGTCTGCAAAGGAAGAAGGAAATCAGAAGGTTTGCATTTTAATGTGGTTTTTATTACACCTAGAGGCTTACTCTGTAAAATAATTGTTACCCATGGAATAATTCTTTATTTTTTAACCCCTTGGCGTTCCTAGCAGAGCACGGGAAGGACCAAAGGGCCTTTGCTCGGACAGCTTCATCTTACTCAAGTCTCCTTTTTTGGCACTTTTGAATCACTCCTCTTCCCCCAGCTGCCGCTGCCGCCGCACGATCAGCTCTGCTCTCAGCCAGGCGTGGCGGCAGCACGTTCCCGACTAGCCTTTTGCTATCCACACCGAGCCCTTTCCATTTTCACGCCGTGCTCATCCAGCATCAACACTTCAGACAGCCCGCTGACGGCTGCCACTCATCTCACCGTGCCATCTGCTCCGACATTTCGTAACGGCATGGTTAAAACTCGCGTTTTTCCAACCTGTTTTCATGGAGTACGGATATCCCAAACCCATGGCACGAGTGGAAACCGCCTCTGGATCCCTTTTCACCGCAGATCTTGAGGTTTACTACAACCAGACTCAAACAGCCTTTGGGCTGTGGTCGCCAACATCTAAACAAACAGCTGGACACACCGCCCTGAGCCTTCTCCTCCTCTGTAGAAGTAAAAAAACCCTCTTGGATGTCCCTAGATTAAATTGTGTCTGGATATTGTGTTTTTAAAAATAGGTACAAGGGGAAAATCATTACTATCTCTTGCCGGGCACTTACAAAGCAAACTGAATCTGCCCTGTGTTTGTCCATTATCTTGCTGTTACGTGACTGATCATATAATTAGTTTTAGCGTAGTTCTTAAACAGGAATTAGGGGGGGTTATAATTTAATTATTATATATGTAATATAACTTAATTATAACTTTAGAGGCTTTCAGGGCTTTATAGCAGCACTACATTTCCATTTTGCTGCAGGGAAGGAGCCTTCTGCTGGTGGTGGGAGGTCTAGCAGTGCAGCCAGTGCTCCCAGACCCCCCATCCCATTCACTGCAGCCTACATTGACACCCCTGAACCCCAGAAATTGTCAGAGCCCCCTTTATGTCTTTAGCCAGCTCAAACGTGCTGCAAGAAATTAACTCTGGGTTGTTTTTTGGTTTTTTTTTTTGGCAGAATCCACCCAGTGTGGCAGAAATCATGGAGGAGGTGATGGGGCCGGAGAGGTTTGGATGGGCCTCTCCAGAGGATGAGGAGCAGCTGGTGGCCGCACTGGCCCTTAGCCGGCTGTACGCCCAGAAGCCGGCCTGTCCCCGCGATGATCCCTACGCCGAGGCCTCCCATGTTTTGGGGGTGCAGCCAGCCCTTCCTGTGCTCTCCGACAATCAGAGGGGACCCAGGAGGCTGGTCATGAAAAGGAAGGTGCTGAGACGCAGACCTGATGGAGGAGTGGAGGTCTCTGACGAGTCGGTGAGCAGCGAGCCAGAGAGCGATGCCGACGTTTGCAGCCTGAGGCGGAAAATGTTTCCGCTCCAGACCAGTCTAGAAGACAGCATCTCCGAGGGGGAAATCGAGACGAGCAGCAGCTCCCTCGATGAATCCCCTCACCACTGGCCCTGTGGGGGCAGTCCCCCCTTTCTCCTCAGGGATTTCAGGAGCCGGAGCTCTTCCGCTTCTCACTACGTCGCCACGGCGGGACAACCCAAGTCCTTCATTCCTCCACGTTTTGAGCCGCTGGGTCATAACCAGAGAAAAACCGACCGAGTGGCCAAATATTTTGAATATAAACGAGAATGGGAGAAATTCCGAATCCCAGGGGAGGATCAACGGCAAGAACTGCGCTGGGGCATCCGGGAACAGATGCTCTGCAAGCCCGAGCTGCCCAGCAAGCCACAACACCTCCACGTCCCCAACACTTACACCGTGCCGACCGAAAAAAAGAGAGCTGCCCTGCGCTGGGAGGTGCGCTGGGACCTGGCCAACGGCTTCCCCCCTCGAAAAAACACCTCCTCCTAGTTCCTGAAGGAAAACAAATGTTTTAACCACACATGTGCGTGCTTTCCTTCCTCTAATTTGGAAAAATCCCCTTTTTGCATGTCAAGTGGGTTAAATTCTCATATTAAAAATTGACCCCAGCACCTCGGATTGTTAAAGGAAACATCCCCACTTGCCTCCCGCGTCATGTGGAGCTGCTCTCAGGGTTAAAACCAGGAGTGAGGGGAGCAGGCACCCAAAAACCACCCAGGCTGTGAGACTTTTCAAACAACAGGAGAAATAAGAATGTAATGAGCCTTGTGATTTTTTTTTATTTTTTTTTTTTTGGCCATGTAATTACCCCCGGATTGTTGTGTGAGCTTTTAACACTTTTTTATTTCTGGCATCTCGACAATATTTCTTTAATAAAGCGTGTGGGAAGGTTTGTTATAGCTCTGCGTGTTAATTAGAAACGTTGTCTCACTCCCTCTGTCAAGGCCTGTTGTTCCAAACCTATCCAAACTCTCAGCTCCCCTTATTTCACTTCATTTTTAAAATAAATGACCTTTAGGATGAAGTGAAGATAATATTATTGTTATTTTTTTCCCAGGTATGGGGATGGAGTGAGGGGATTTGGCAGTTCTTATGCATGGAAAGGCCTCCAAGCCACAGTGAGAGGTTGGGGGGCTCTGGCCCCTCAGCCCTGTGGACAGGGTCCCCAAAACCTGATTGGGGTGGATGGGAAAGGGGCAGGAGGACAAGTGGGTGAACCCTGAGTCAGGCTCCCCCCAAACCCGCTCTGGAGGGGAGTGCAGGGGTGACAATGTGAGGGAAAATGGGGGCTGGGACACACACAGAGGCTTCCCGCCAGCTTGGGGACCCTACTGGCACCCCACCCTGGGGGGTTCTGGCACACCTTGCGGGGTGTGGGGGGATCCCAGGCTCTCCAGCACCCTGTGGACCCCCCATCCACCTATAAGGGGAGGTCTGTCCCCTGGGGACCCCCCGAAACCTACAGGGTGCAGCCAGCGCCACCTCCCTACGGGCTCCTCCAGCTCCCCACAGACATCCTCCCCAAAAAAATCCCTACGGGGACCAGTGCTGGCACCCTACAGGGTCCCCGTTCGCGGCGGGAGCCCCTCCCCGCCCTATGGGGTCCCTTGTCCCCCGCACCCCCGGGACCCCCCAAACCCCACGGGGGCAGCGCCGG